TACGGCCGTGTGGGTGTCGAAGCCGGCAGTCCCATCGGACCGCCAGACGTTGACAAGAAGGATGATGAGCAGAAGAGCGTCCCACTGTATAAGGGCAGGGGTGTTGGATGGACCGTGGCCTATTACATTGTGCTTGTAGCAGGCGCTATGGGCTTCTACTATCAGCTCTTTCCGCTGACTGAGAGCAGTCACGCCCTGCCTGTAGACTTGACAAAGGCGTAAGATCACCATGCGCAATTGGAAGGCACCAGGCTGCAAGCAGTAGACCACACTTAGAGGTGCTGCACGTTCACGTTTGAGGTATAGCACAAGTAAATATCACTGAGATGCTCATCTGAGTCTCGCAATAGCCCACCAATTATCCTTCTCATACCCCGACTCCAATACAACTCCACCAGCCTGCTCAACATCCCCTTCCAGCTCCCCCTTCCGATACAGATGATAATACCTCAAGAACGTCTTATCACCATCCGGCTTCGGCGCCTCTTCTTCGTCAGCTTGACCTTCATCGTTCTTCTTCCTCCGTCCCTTCTCCTTCTCCTTCTTCTGCTTCAGGACCCACGGCACCATGACGTCCTGCTCGTGGCCCTCGTCCCAGCCTCTTCTACTGTCTTTCTGTTCAAGTGCCCAGACATAGATGAGTGCTCTGCCACCCTCCAGGCCAGCATCTCCATTCTGATTCGACGGTGACGAAGGCCGCAGTAAATCCAAAACACACTTCACAGCCTCTACTCTCCGTGCCGGCGTAGACAAATGATGGATGACCGCTATCGAAATAGCGAAATCAAACACTCCATTTGGATGAGGTAGCGAGAGATTGTCTGCAACCACTACATCGTGCGGTTCATGTTGTTTCGCAATCTTGACAAGGTTTGTAGATCTGTATCGACGTTAACTTTTAAGCACAAGGGCCATGACGAGTCGCAGGATAGTCAATCTAGTGAATAACAAAATAGAACATACCGATCACTACCCACAACCCACACCTTCTTATTAACAGCCAAATACTTCCCGTTCCCACACCCGACATCTACGCCTATGGCGCCGTCATGTTGTTCCTTGAGGAAACGCTCGACTATGGGCCAGGGCTAGCAATCGCGTTAGTCATGCATGCTCTCTTCCCATTGCATGCCACTAGTAATGGCGAGGGTGGACGCACACCTTGTAGCGGGTAGAAGAAAAGTGGGATGCAATTTCTTCATAGACAGAGTGAACGTGCTCGGCTTCGTAGGTTGCGCCTTGGGTTTCTGAGGTCGCCATGGTGGTCGTTGCATCGGTAGGTGAGTGGAGATGTGACTGTAGGAAAGGCTAATGTGCGTGGTGTGGTGGTGGATGGGGAAATGGCCAATGGGGGGTGGAGGGGGTGCCAAGACGCTATGTGGGCATGCGAGTGTGCGTTTCGATCGTTCCGTCTTTCATGCTCTACACTGACAAACTCTCACGATGTCATGAAAATGTCTGGTGTGAAGGCTCAGCGTTGAGACAACTTTTAACTACCTGGCAGATATCGAAAACTGACCACTACGTCTGGCAAAATAGCAAGCACCTATCCCAGACCGCAATGATGCTGAAGCTTGCATTACATGCATCTCCTTTCTTTCTCCGCCCTGATTAAGAGACGGCCTCGCTCATCAAACTACGAATTTTTCTGCTCAAGATGTAGTAGCCTAAGGCTTTGAGCGTTCTGATGGCTTTTCTTAGCATGAATCTTCACGAAGGCTGTGTGTATGCTACTCAGGTTATCGAAATCTGGGCTATGTCCTTATCTCCATTCTACTGGATGCGACAACTTCAGACTTGCGGCAACTACAGGGCATGTCACATCGCATTCATCGTGTCCGCTTCCGCCTTTCTTTGGGTGCATGTCAAACGATGGCAAGAGGACAATGGCGGTTGACGTCCCATCCATTGTTCCTTTGTGACGGTCATCTCGTGGCTTTTAAACTCGCAATTTCCCGTCATCGATGCCAGTACTTTGTGAACACTATCGTCTTCTTTTCCAAACCTCAGGTCAATTTAGCTATTCTTACAGAAATTTCACATCCAAGATGGCCACCCCTAGGGTATATAGAGCCCCAGCGGGCAGTCGACGAAGCGCCCGTATCCCAGCGGCTATAACCGGTACTCCAGCTAACGCGCGTGTTAGCCTTCGTTCGGACTTGCAGGAGAACCGGGACCGCATAGTATGTTCGTTCCCGAGCTTGATTGTTCTTACTGATCATCTCTTAGGCAGCACGTATAAGTAAGAGATGGCTTGTGCGTGGGCGTGCTAGGCCACAGAGAAGTAAAGGCTTCACAACTGGTACCAACTGGTGCTACATCAACGCCGCGCTCCAGGCCCTGATGCATCAGCCCCAGTTATTGAACTGGCTTCAAAACCATGATCGTCCGGTCAGACGAGGCACTGGTGGCAGTAACAAACGTAATGCCTGTCATGCAAATCCTCCATCGTATTGGGGAGCAGCTGCCAGTAATGCAGTGCCAGATTGTACTGGATGTATGATGAGAGAGCTGGTCAACACTTATTGGGCTAACACCCCCAACACCACAGTCGCCCCCAACGTGCCAAGAATACAAGGAATCGCATTGGCTGGTGACGTCGCGCAGTTGGCCGCCAACGGTTCAATGGTTCAGATGGACTCTAACGACTTTTATCAGGTGATTCTGCAGCGCTTGCAGGTCGCCAGTGAGTGAGTAAACGCCCATTAGTAAATTATCAACATGCATACTTACCAGTTCTAGGACGCAAGAATGGGATGAAGACTTCCGCGCACTATTCCAGCTCGACAGACAAGAGAACGGCCGATGTATAACATGTGGTCACGAAAGGCTCATTGCGAAGATTCCAGAAACCGGCATCCTTCTAAATGTTCCCACGGCCACAACAACTTTCAACGCAGCGCTGTCGAGATTTTTTCAAGAGGACAGAACAATACACTGCGCTATATGTGCAAGCAATACTATCCATCTGGTCACGACCAGTATTCAAGCTGGCCCTCAAATCCTTAAGATCAAACTCGCCATCTTCCAAATGAAAAAGTCAGAAAAGAAAGACAAGAACGGCAATCCGCAGCCTGCTACAGAACACAAGATCAACCACCGCATGGCTCACCCCAACATACTCGACCTAACTCAATATCAAGAGAATGCTCATCTTCCCCTCCGCTACCGGCTGTCTAGTGTCATCTCTCACTCTGGCGAAGGAACAGAGACCGCAGGCGGACACTACATCGCGAGTGTTCGAGGCACAGGCGACCGCATTACTTGCATTTCTGATTCTACAACGGAGAATTTTACACAGGCTCAATTCGAGGCAAGTCCACAGGTGGCGGGAATATCTCCCCCAGCAAAGGAGGTTTATGTACTCACCTATCTGAGGGATGACGGCAGGTTGCAACGGGAGATGAAAAATCTCGAGTCGACGTTGAATTGATGGAGGGTGGTAAGTTCGAATTGACAGTTTCCCTCTTTTTTAGGTATGCATGTATTGTAATCACTGCTTTTAATCACCCATGCCGTTACAGCATCGTTATTTTGAGTACGACGGACCAGTCGTGACATCTAAAGCATGTATTCCAGTGCGGTTGCCCGCGCAAGTGGGATCTGCGGGCCCGCCTGCTGAATGACGTCTTCGATCTTGGAGCTGGGAATGTGAAATTGGTCTCTCATCGTCAGTACCAAAAGCACGGCACATGCAGAAACTTTATCATTTCCGACTACGAGGGTGGCGCGTTCTGGCCGCGAAGTGGATGCTCCCGAGGTCCAAATGAGATGGCTGGAGCCCTGGAGCCTAGAGAGGCCAAAGACACGCTAAAACAGGGCTTGAGCTCGCGCGACGCGTCAAGCTTCCGACACTGCGCGATGTGCCAGCAACACGTAGGATATGAGTTTATCTCTCATGTGCCTGAAACTGACAAGAACAATGATGGCAGTGATGAAGAGACGGCAGCGATCCAGTGAGTACCGGGAGGCATCACGACCAGCGAATCCAGAATATACTGAATTGTTCATTCCTCTCCGAGAACGCCGGCAGCGTCAAGTGAACCAAGGCATCCGCTAGATTCTTGACATTCAAATATTCGCACCTGTATAGACACTCAGAACGAAAGAGCAACGAGAAACCCGTATTGTCCATCGGCGCTTTCGCAGTTCCGTATCCAAATATGGGTGTTTAACCGGCGGCGCATCACTGGACGATGGCACTGGACGATTAGATGGAACTTCATCAACCCATATTGCGCCGCGTACTGGATCGCGAATTCTCGGTAGAGGAAGCCCTCGTCCGCGTGCCGCTCACGGTTCCTACAAGATTCAGATTGTCTGCAGAGAATCCTAGAAGCTTGGCTATCCGCATCTCAGAAGCACTTAACATCTGAGTCTTCCGACACATACCAAAGGTTCCTACCGCCCACAATGTACATCTCAACGCTCATCACGACCGTACTCTTCGCTACGACCGCTCTCGCGACTCCCTACCCTTGGGCTGCACCACAAGTCAGCATCGCTCCTGCACCCAGCGGAACGCGCAAACACAACCGCACGCATAGCCACAGGCACAGAGAACCGACACCGACGTTCAAAGAGCCATGCAAATGCGCTATGCCAATTGTGCCGATGAACTTGCTCAGCACGAATGAGAAGTGCTTGATGAAGCATGCTGCTGAGATGGGCTGCTACATGAGCTCCAATGGTGGATGCCCGTCGCCGGCGCCTGCTGTAAGTATGAAGCTAGAGGGGAAGAAGGTTTGCTGACGAGGTGTAGTGTGGACTTGGGCCGCTGCCGGGTATTCCTATGCACTAGACAGCGATGCGAAGAGACGACGGGAACTATATATTGGATGTGGTAGGGAAGCGACTGAGTCGATTGCCAAACATATTACGCCTCGCCGATGATGCACGGAATTTACTTATGCATATACCTCTCAAGAGACCTCCCAAAGCCCTACCATCCCCGAATATTTCGCAGCACATCTTGCTGTCATACGAGGTTCCCGGTGACACTACTCAGCCCTCCTTCTCTTTCCTTGAGTCCCACCAACACTACCATCCAGTGCCCTCTTGCTAACACCCGCATCTCTAACCACCCTTAGCCTGTCCTTCTTCAGTGCCCCAGCATGTCTACCTGCGACTTCTTTATCTGGACAGCCATTCTCGCCAGGCTCGATCAGCGGCTCAATGTTTGCCTCCTTCAGCAGCGCTGGAACTTCGCTAAGCATGGCTTTGTACCGACCTTTCTCTCGGCACCAGAGTATGAGTGCGGTCAGCGGACCGGCATCCACACCTGTAGGCAACGACTGCAAGCCATGGGTGAGGGCAAGAAGCGGGTAGTCGATCTTCTCCCATACATCGTAGATCCACCCTTCAGCAGTATAGCTCGAAGTCAAGTCGACAACCGTGGAATCGATGACCGGAGCGGGTGTAGGTGATGGTGTATCCTTCCCGGCCTCATCAATATCCATCTCTTCGACCTTAACGCAATCCCTCTTCTTGGCAACCTTAGCTGCCTGTGCAATACTATTTGCCATCATGATCTCATCGCCCTGAAGCCCTCGCGTCATGATAAGGAAATCCCGTATCAGGGTTCCAGTCACACCCGCCCTTGTCAATCGCTCAGCTGCATGACCCCAGTAGTAGTGTTGAGGAAAGTACGACAGTAGCTCCATGGTCGTGAACTCGGTGTCGCCAAGGAGGGCCATGTCGACCATGACGGATGTCGCGACACTCTTGAACGCGCAAAACTGGTTCTTACCCTTGGCTCCACGATCTTGGTTCTGAAGCAATACGACGTGCTTGCTCTCCGATGTAGTCGGGTCCGATTGCATGGCAAGCATCATCAGCTCAGGAATGGGTGACTTGAGTCTACGTTGTGAGCGCATTGCGCCAGTCCCTCGCCAGTTCATATCAGGTGTCGGGATGAAATCCACCTCAGGGTTGGCCTCTTTGGATGATAGCCAGCGCCACGCATCACAGATGTCGAATACCTTGTCTGGGCAATCGCGGGCTTCGCTCCATGAATATGTGACAACAGGCGCGAAAGTGTCGGAGCCAACGGGGCTGGTAATCTCATAGCTGCCGAGCTGCTCGTTGGTGGCATTGGACGGGGCGTGGAAGTCTATCTGGCCCTTCCACGGCAAGACCCAATCAACACTGTCGAAGTTGAAAACATCGGTGTCGCTTCCGTCGCTAAGTTTGAGCATCTCGGGTACCAGTCCGTACTCAGGGTGTAGTTCACCACCTGGTACATACTTGTGCAAGCCTTGTTGATGAGATTCTTCGCACGTAAGCGGCATCGGCCCAACTGGTGTGAGCTTGAACGCTTGGCGATACGGATCGAAGGCGATGGGCAGAAGACCGGACCATGATACGTGCTTCCACCCCATTGGAAGCACGAGCTTCTGAACTAAGGTGAAGTCAGGTAAGCCGCCGATGATTGGGACAAAGGCTTGGTGGAAGAGCAGACGAGGGTCCAGAGAGGGATATGGGTAGCAAGGGTGCGTGCTGCCACCCGGTGGGTACTGCAACTGCCACGACAGCGAATGGACGGTTGGCAGGCCTTCGAAGGGAAGCGGGTCGGCTTTGATAGGCTCGAGGCTAAGCTCTGACTGGGGTACGGTTTCCGATGCTACCACTGGGGAGAGAACCTTGCGAGCAGCCTTTGGCGCTGTGGCTGGTACATGGAGGTTATCTTGATTAAGGAATGGAAATTAGCGGAGGCATTGATAGCATAAGGGGGTGCAAGACTTACACGATGGCTTGGGCTGTGTGCGCAGTCTGGTACTGCGACGTGTGGCCGTCGGGTTCAGAGACTCTTCAAGTTCGCGAGCCAGTCTTGCATCAGCCCCGGTATCATCCTTGGGAGTCTGGGAGATTATAGGCTTTAACCCGTCATCGTTCGCATTGTCTCCGTCAATAGGAGACTGCGCCGGTACCGAAAACGTATTGGTAGTGTGATTTGCCGTCACTAGGGCAGTTTTAACGTCGTTCTTGGCCTCCTCGAGGGAAGTCTGCCATGATAGCTCCTCTTGCGCAGAGCTAGCTGAAGGGATAGCTCGTGTATAGTTGTGAAACGTCGGCGTTTCTGGGGATGGTAGTCCGTGCCAAAGGAGCGGAACGCGGTTCTTCTTGGGCGTGGATGGCTGCTCAGGCTTCCCTACACTTCCGTCCTCGCTGTTGGCGCTAACAGTCTGACTGTATGGCTTCTGGTCGCCGGAGTCACTCTTGCCGTCGAACACGTTGTAGAGACGTGACAATGCTGCGTCGCGTCGTTGATTATGCTTTGCAGTCTCCACCGCCGCAGTACCAGAAGCGCGGCTCTCAACGCGTCGCTGATAGCTTGAATACTCATCGGAGAGATCATCGTGAGCTTCAGGTACGACCTGCGGCGAGTTGACGTTGCCTGCTTATGTGTTAGTATTCAATTCTCGCCCACTTCATCTATCCGCTAAACTCACTAGAGCTAATGTAAGCCTCTCTGCTTGGAGAAGGCGTACGCCACGTATGTCCCATGGTTTCGAACGTTGATTGCGTGTTTGCGGTCGAAAGGTACGGATCGGTGGGAGGAAGCAGCATGCTGGGCGAGTCGAAGTACAGAGACCTCTGTTAGCGTTGCAGCGAGGAAGAGGAGTGGTGATAAGAGCGATGATATCGATATGCCAAATGCGGAAGATGAGGATGACGAGAGGTGCTGGCTTCACCTTCACTTCTGGCGCACGGACGCGTCGTTGTGAGCGCTAGTCGCGTGGAAGTGGAGGTGACGGCGGCAAGACATGAGAGAAGAGAAGCTTTCCCAGTCGCATTAGATGGTGGACAGCTAAAGTGTGCGACAGCATATCAAGATGCGAGCAGAGTTCTTAGAAATAAAGACGAATGTAGACTTGACAGACGACAATGCCATCTTGGCTTGCTATTACGAGTCATGGTTGATAGACAGCCGGTTATACCAGCTGCAATAGAACAAAGCTGAGCTAATACCTACATGTGTCTACCATGTAGTGCCTAATGCGCCAATCGCTGGGCCTTCGCCATCGAAGAACTCCTCATCCAACAGGCTGAGCAATACCTGTTGGCCCACCCACTGTTCTTCAGCTGCAGGCCTGATCCTCTCCGGAGGCAAGACGAAGCCAAAGTCACCAGTATCGGGCAATTCGATGGTCATGGAGAACTTGGCGCGACCGATGGTGTACACATGGTCGATAGACGCACCGGTCGTCGGGTACAAGGTTGCTCCACTAGGGCCGTACGTGTAGGTAGTCGCATTGGTCGAGTAGTAGGCGATGTTTTCGCTCATTAGAGCAGCTGCCTTGGTCCACATGCCGAGCTCTGGTGCATAGAGAGTTTCCTTGTGGCCGAATGGGTACAGGATCAGCTGGGAGTAGCTGTGCCAGTCAATGTATAGCTTGATGCCTTGCTCATCGCGGATCTTGCGGATCAGGTTGTCCATGCCCAGGTTCTCAGGCGTATCGCGGGGCGCTTCTCCTCTGTACGTCTGCGAGCATGGGTCTGTGGAAGCTCCGCGTGGGTCAGCATCCCAGTTCCTAAGATTACTTATCAGTGTATGCCCTACGCATAGGGCAAAAACTTCGCTTACGTCTCCCAGTTGCGGTTCACGTCGCGACCATAGCATGTCTGATTGGCAGCGTTCTCTGGTGGCGGCATACGGTTCTTGCGCCATAGGCGGTCATCTGTCTGAGAAAAGACGAAGCCTAGCATGTATTAGCAACAACCAGTGGATCTATCCTTGGTGACTTGACATACCATCGGGGTTGACAAAGGGAAACATGTAGATGTCGTAGTTATCCAGAATGGCTTGCGTGTAGTTGTTGCCGGCCTTGTATTCGTAGGTGAGGGCCTTGGCGATATACTCGATGGTCATAGCAGTGATCCATTCACGAGCGTGAACAGTTCCGTGGTAGATGACCGCAGGCTTTCCTGGACCATCTTTTCCATAGAGATGAACGCCAAACATGTCGCGCCCTTCAAAAGATGTTCCAGTGCTCGTCCAGTTTGAATTGTCTGGGAACGATTCCTGTAGATCGCGCCACCAAGTAATGTGCTAATAATGGCCAGTCAGCTTCGGATCGAATAGCAGTGATACATCACCTACGTCTTCATACGGGTGGTAGCTATCAAACCACGCATCTTCGGAACCGTTAGTTTGCCTCTTCCAGGCCTTCTTGACGTGCGACTCCCGGGCGATAGAATCGGCCAGGTTCTCATGCAAGGTTCGGGACTTGAGCCCCAAAGCCTTGAAGGCGTCCAACTGCCCGGGTGCGATAAGAACATCCAGGTTTCCACGAATCTCGTTCAAAGTCTCGTGAGGGACAGCAGCAAGAGCTCGCTTTGCTGCAGCATATTGGGATCCAGTAGCTCGGACGCGATGGACTTGGTACCCATCATATGTACGAGGCTGTGGGCTGCGAATGGTCGCACCAGCAACGAGGGATAGCCAGGCAAGGCTGAGTACGAACTTCATGATGTTGTTCCGCCACGGAAGCGATCAATTGACGAGCGTGAGGCATTCAAGATTGTAGAAGATGGGCCTTATATAGCTGACCATCTTCCTCACCTGGGCGCATTTTAGTTTGCTGGCACCATGATAAGCACAAAGCGTGTTCTTCCAAGCCCTGACCATGGACATTGGCAGCTCAACGTGCGCACGGTGACATGATTGATGTTGCCCAAGAGCCCGGTTAATCATGGATGAGGTGTAATCGGGACGTTTCCCCAAGATGTGGTGGCCTTGACCTGCCAGTTCTGCACTAGACCTGCCATGGCATTCCTGGGCGAGGGGTAGCAACGTCATCTGCGGGCTTACTTTGTTCGTGAGTAAATACGTTATTTCGGTGGAGGTAAGCCGAGCAAGTTCTGTCGCTTTGCGTCTACATGCATAGGTTGCGGCGTAGCAGGCTGGGCGGAGTTGCTGCTCAGGCGGGCTCTAAGGCTGTCCTCCGCAAATTGCCCAAGTGCGACGATGGCAGGGCCAGGAACAATATACTGGGATCTGAGCATATTCAGGCAATGATTGTACCGAACGACCCTGCGAACTGGTCGTACTGTAATGCACCGACCCGGATGCCGCAAGGAAATGAGGGGAAGCCGCGGATAGAGTGAAGAACCTTGGAATAATCTCCGGACGGAAGCGGCGCTAGAGCGGAACCGGATAAGCGGCTTCCCCGACGGATTGGCCCCAAGTGCTGCCGCTGCTGACCCCATCCGTGACCCCATCGCATCGCATCGCATCACATCACATCAGCGACTGCAGCATCGACCAGGATACGAATGCCATAGGGAACTGCAACTATTGTTTCCCTATGGCCAACTGTTTGCCGACCGATACGGCCACCGCATGCTACATCCAGAGCTTGCAGAAACATTTGCCATTCAGCAATCTAAAGTCGTCCGCAGACATCCAAGTACCGATTTTGCCAGCAGATGATTAAAGTGCAGCCATGTCTGCCATTAATGTTGTTACATCGGAAACACAGCTCAAGAGCCAGAACCTCACGTCACACCGTCTACATCGTTGGCGCTGGAGATTTTGCTTCGTGCTACACGATGATGAGAAGCAATCGACAAGCCGGGATATATATATCTTGAGTCTATGCAATGTCGGTTCTCGGGTTGCACTCGTCGCATCACCAGAATCAGTTTGTCTTGAGTCTTCTTGCGAGCATTGAAACAAAGAGTCGAACAATGTTCGACTCGACGTCTTTGTTTCCTTGTCGCCTCGGCCTCCACACACTCCTCTAGATGTGCGGTCCTCCTGTTGTATACACAGTGTCTTTAGTACACATAACGGCGAGTGAAAACAATACTGGCCAGCAGGTGCTGAACTTTCACTCCACCACGGTAAACTCCCCTTCTTTCGATTTGATATTATCCCACGAATCTCAACTTCAGTGAGCACAACTCAACTGTCTCACCCCTGAGCAGCCAAAGCAACTGTTTTACCCTATACTCAGGCTGCATTGATACCATGTCTCCAATCACATTCACGCGGGACGAAGTCCAGGATATGCTCGACCGAGCACAATTAAATGCCGGCCATCTCTTCGCGAACCTCCCAGACGTGCGCGAACTGCTTCAAACACAGCATCAAGAGAGCCTGATGGAATGCAACTCCCGGGGTATTGATCAAATGAAGGTGCTTCATCAATCAATGCATGAGGAGTGCAAGATCATCGATGGCCACAACAAACACCGCCTTGGGAAGGCGAGAACCGCCTTCAATGATCGCGTTATCGACCCCATGATTGCTGTAGAATACAGGGAAGAAGAAAATATCCCTGCAGACCTCCGGTGGTATCCACTACACGCTGAGGTTGCAATCCACGATGGGTACGCTACAGCTCATCTCTTTGATCAGCCTGAAAGTGACGAAGAAGACTACCAAAACTATCCAGAAGACCAACCTGCCTTCATTGGAAATGGAAACGAATCCCCAATTCCTGTCGCTAACCAAGACATTGCTTCCAGTAAGATTGTCAAAAGGAAACCGATTCCCGAAGGAAGGAAATCCACAGGCCCCGGTAGCCCAAAATATGATAAATTGAAGGATGCGCCTTCGGCTTGGCTAGATCTTCCCCATGGCAACCTAACTTTGGCAGAAACACTTGCTTTCATTCCGCATGCCATCAAATCCTTCGACATCATGGACCGTTTTCTCCACAATGGCGCCCTATCGGGGACCTTTGCAGACATGATTAACCATTACCGAGACATGCCGTACGGTCCGATCACGAACAATACGGTATATCGGATGATGAAGGGACCAATGCTCCATCGCGCGAAGACCGAGCCGACTTACGAGGATTGGACAGTATCCAAACATACGACTTTACCGAAACCTGCTGGATTTAATCCCACCAGTGTCAGCGTAGCAGGCTTTGCCCCACCTTACAACTTCAACTCCCGTGAAAGGGCTGTGGCAACCACTCAGTCCCCTCCTAGCATTCCATTTCGCGAAATGGCAAACGGAGTGAAGATCATGCCTTCGGGACGTGATGCGCTAGATCTTACACGATGTGTGCAGTATTGCGTGAAGAATAACGATTCGAGCTGGCAATATCCTCAAGATTTCCAGAACCTGGTTGCTCGACTCGGGGGTGCTTCTACTGTGCACCCACACCATCACGACGATGCTGCAATTCGGAGACACACTTCCGAAAAGAAGCGGAACAATGCGAAGCGAGCCGGTGCACGACAGCGTGATAGGAATGGGCGCCTCATGAAACAGCCGAAGGGCTTCGTGGTTGACTCAGATGAAGAAGAGCTACTGGATGAAGAGTATGGAGAGGAGTCTGAAGCAGATCTAGAGAACTTCGATTTTGATGCTTTGGACATTGACGACAACGAGCCACTCACTGCCACCAAGAAGGGCTCGAGCCGTAAGAATGTCATAGGAGATGACACGTCGGACGAAGATGAACTCACGCCGCGTACCCGTAACTCATCGAAACGCAAGCGTACTTCCAACAAAGACGACGAAGACACCCCACCTAGGCAAAAGTCCAAGCAAAGCAAGAAGACGTCGCCGCGGACGCCTGCCCGTCGCTCAACGAGAACCCGGT